ATGGAAGGAAGGAAGGAAGGAAGGAAGGAAGGGAGGGAGGAAGGAAGGAAGGATGTATCAAGTTCCCATCATCCTTTCAAAACTGCCCCTCTTTCACTGAATTAAGAAGGATACACGAAGCATCATGGACAATGGCAAGAACAGCCCCGTGGGCCCCTTCCGATGGCAGCACCAGGCTGGGCATCCATGAGCCCAGGACAAACACCACAATTCTAGGGACAGGCAGGCTGCAGGGGCGGGGAGGCGGGACTGCAGCACTCCCAGCAATCCAGAAGTGATTGTGACTCAGTCCAAGCAGGCTGGATGAGGGCCTGGCAGGGGCCAGGGCGTCTCCAGGCTGGTTGCACATAAGACTCCCCTAAGGAGTTAGTAAAAACCACAGCTGCCCATTCCAACCCCCAAGCTGTGATTTAACTGGTCTGGGCTTGGGCCGAGACTGGATAATGCACGGCCCAGGTGAAGTGCACGGCCGCCACCCGCGGAGCTCCTAGGCTGGGGGAAACATCCCAAAGAAAGGGACTGCCCATGAGGGGACACTTCGTTCTGCCAGGGTGAGATGGGAGGGAAGGGCAGGAGCTCAAGCTGGCCTCCTGGAAAGACAGAGGGTGCAGAGTAGCGAAGGTACTGTAGGCACAAGATGCCGGATCAGCAGCAGCGTGAACGAACGCACACCACTGGGGGAACTGCGGGTAGCAGATGGGCTCTGAAACAAGCTTATGAAATGCTTAAACAAACAAACAGATAAACAAAACAGTTAAAAACCTGTCTGCACTTCTCTGCTATTTCTAAGGTCTAAGCAAAGGGGAAGGAAGGAAGAGATTCTCAAGTTTTTCGTTTGTATTTCCTCTCCTGTAACTGTAGGCTTCTTGAACTCATGCCACTGCCTGCAGACTTCCGTGGGCCTTGTCATTAGCTCAGCGGGGGAATGGGAATGGACAGGGCGCCAGCTCTGGAGTCAGGGGTCCCTGAGCTTGAATCCCGGCTCTCGTACCGCCTAGAGCTGTGTGACCACAGGCACAACAGCTCAACCCGCCCCAAGTGTCCGGCCCCCTACAACGGGAATAATAGATAATATTTCCTCTACAGGGTTATATGGTATACAGAACTTGTAGAACTTGCATCAAAAGAAACAACTGACAGAAGGAAATGGACCACTTATGGAACGGGAGAAATTATTTCCAAACCACATGTCCGCTAAGGAGTTAAAATCCAAATCTATAAAGAACTCCTACAACTTAGCAACAACAGCAAAAAACAAATACTTGATTTAAAAAAAATGGGCAAAGGACTTGAGTAGACACTTCTCCAAAGATGATATACAGATGGCCAACAAGCATATGAAAAGATGTTCAACATCACTAATCACTAGGAGAATGCAAACCAAAATCACAACGAGCTGTCACCTCATACTCACTGGGATGGCCCCTATCAAAAGCCAAAAAATTAGTGTTGGCAAGGTTTGGAAAGCTGGAAACCTGCTGCACTGTTGGTGGAAATGGAAATGCAGCCACTGTAGAAAACAGTATGGGGATTCCTCAAAAAATTAAAAATAGAAGTACTACTCTAGGGTCTGGCAATTCTGCTTCTGAGTATATACCCAAAAGAACTGAAAGCAGGGTCTCGAAAAGATATTTGTACATCTGTGTTCACAAAGGCATTATTCCTAAGAGCCAAAGGGTAGAAGCAACCCAAGTGTCCACAGACAGATACGGATAAGCAAAATGGGTACATACGTGCAGTAGAATATTATTCAGCTTAAAAAGGAAATTCTGGCACATACTACAACATGAATGAACCCTGAAGACATTATGTGGAGTGAAATAAGCCAGTCATAGAAAGACAGATACTATATAATTCCACATATGTGAGGGCCCTAGATGAGTCAAATTCATAGAAACAGAAAGTAGGATGGTGGCTGCCAGAGCCTGGGGGGAGGGGAAATGGAAACTGTTTAATGAGTATAGAGTTTTGCGAGATGGAAAAGCTCCAGAGATTAGCTGCCTGACAATGTGAATGTCCTTAATGCCACCAGTTTGTACACTTGAAAATGATTAGGATGGTACATTTTATCTTCTGTGTGTTTTACAATTTAAAAAAGGCATCTACAAGTGTGGTTTTTGAGTTTCAGTAAGCAGAAGTACAACCCAAGGTTCTTACTAAACACAGAGATTCTGGGGTCCCCTTCCCCTAGATATTCTGATTGAAAGTCTGGGTGTGAGGCTCTGGAATCTGCATTTTCATAAACATCTGAGGGCTATTTAGCACACTAAGAATTCATTTATTCTGCTCTGGTTCTAAAGGGTCAAGGAATATTCTTTTGAATATTTTGCTTTGCTGATCAGTAGCTGTTTAAAACATACACACACACTATGCCTTGTGTGTGTGTGCGTGTGTGTGTGTGTCTAGAAAGATCTCATGTTGATTCTAGCCACAGCCCAACAAGATGGTCCTCCGGTCTTCAGGGAAGGAGGAGCTACAAAGCTTGGGTCTGTGGCCCCTCGGCTCCAGGCCCATGGGCTCTCACATTTCAGCCTGCACAAGCTCATCTCACCAGAAGTGTGTCAGGTAAACCAAATATGTGCCCCACAGGATGTCCCCAACAAGGGAGGTAATGTCAGGTACAGCCTGCGGGGGGCTCTGCCTCCCACAGAGGGGAGAGGAGGAGAGCTAACACAGGCAACCCCACTGCCAAAGTGCACAGGACGCAGGGAAACCACAACTCTCAAGGGCAGCCGCAAGCAGAAGGCCAAGGAGAGCCAGTGGGGCCAGTGAAACACTGGCCAGGGAGGGCCTCCGAGAGAGCAAGAACAGCCTGAGAGAGCCAGCTCACTCAAGGACTCCAGGCCTCCCCTCCCACAACCCAACCAGCAAAGGAGACTCTGCTCATTCAACCGCAACCAACTAAATACAGTGTCCTCAGCCCACCACATCAGCCATGTAGTCATTTGTTATCTTCATCATCATAATAGCACCTTTGACATTTCCCATGCTTGGCTCCAACTCCATCATTACTTTCCAGTGTGGCAACGAATGTTGCTCTTTGAACAGGAAGCATGGAGCACTTCCAACCTGCTGAGGCAGAGGGGCCCACGACTTTTGGATTCGGACTCCCCCAGAAGCAGATCTGCCATGAAACTACTAGCAATGAACCTTTGGCCACCCCCACCCCTCATCCCTTCACCCCCCTCCTGGGAGGGCCCAGCAATGTGTTCACACGGTCGGGTGGTTTTGTAAAATGTACAAAAGCAAGATATTCTTGTTTTCTTTTTCTTATAACCCCTCCCCACTCCAAACTGTCTAACCCAGAAAACCAGGGTCTGCCTCTGGCTTCCACCTAAATTTGGTGAGGACTCCCCCACACCCTCCGCAGTGCCACATGCATTCACATACATCAACTCATTCAGCCTTACAGGGTAGGTTATATTCTCACGCCACTTTTACATAGAAGGAAATCGGGATTCAGAAAGGTTCTGTGAGGGGCACCCGGGTGGCTCATGGTTAAGCATCTGCCTTCGGCTTGGGTCATGATCTCTAGGTCCTGGGATCGAGCCCCATGTCCGGCTCCCAGCTCAGTGGGGAGTCTGCTTCTCCCTTTCCCTCTGCCTCTCCCCCTGCTGGTGTTCTCTCTCTCTCAAATGAATAAAAAAGAAAAAGAAAGAAAAGAAAGAAAAGAAAGAAAGAAAGAAAGAAAGAAAGAAAAGAAAGAAAGAAAAGAAAAGAAAGAAAGAAAGGCTCCGTGAGGTTCCATGACGTGCCTAGGGTCACTCGGACTGCAGGAAATAGACTAAGATTCAAATCCAAACCCCCAAATCCAAGCCCTGTGTTCTTCTTACTCTTTCATCTCCTCCTAGTTGTCCTAAGGAGAGCTAAATAATAACCACAAACAAAAGGACACTGTAAAGAAAAAGTAAAAATGAAGCTACTCTTCTGATTAATAAGTTAACAAACACTTAAGGATAATCACTAACTTTTACTGACCACTTGCCCGGTGGCAGACCCAGAGTTAAATGCTTCTCTTGCAATATTTCATTCACGGCTCACCATAATCCTATGAGACAGATATTAGCCTCACTCTACAGAGGAGGAAACTGAGGCTCAAAAGAGTTCATTAATTTATGCAAGAACACACAGTAAGTAGGAAAGCCAAGGATTCAGCTGAGGTCTAACTCTAAAGTCCTTGCATTTAACCATGGTGCACTGCTGCAGCTGGATGTGGGGAAAGCCCACCAGTGGGATGGAGGCAGGCAGGGAAATGCCTTCAGCATAAATCAGGAGTGTGGCCTAAGAGCTAGGCAGAAAGAAGGAAAAATGTTGATCAGAAAAGATGGTTCTGGGCTCAAATGAACCAATCAACTGGTTCACATGGGCCTTGATGCCCAGATCCCAGCAGAGGTCCCACCCCTCAGAGGCTCCATTTAAATATTCTCTGCATGGCCCAATATCTCAAAGTACCACAACAATTTCCAGTGAACAAGAAAGGTGTCCCCTGTGCCCTGTAACTAACCTTCTGAGTACCCTGAGCTTTTTGGTTTGTCTGGCTTTCCGCAGAGCTTATCCCCTAACTTTTCTAAGGCTTCTCTGGTGCAGCTGATAAGACTTTTTTCCACCCCCTGTTAAAATGAGATGAGATCCAGCCAGCTGTCGAGAAATGTACGATGAGATTATACTGAGAAGGAACCAACAGAGACAAAGGCCCCTAAAGAGTCGCTGGCCTGCTGTGGCTTTTGTGGCAGAAATCTGAGTGGGCGCTGGCTCTTGAGTGGGGGTGGGGAGCAGAGAAGGGGCAACGACCATTTGCCTTTTGCCTTCTTGGGGCCTTCCTCTGTTCCTTGCTGAAGAGGCTGAGAGGCAGGGGACAGAAGAGTCACATCTTTGGTAGTGAGAAAGGCTGGTAATTTAGGAAGAGTTGTCTGTTGGTAACAAAGAGGACAAAGATGCTCATGGGTCTGCCTTCTTCACCTGGGCCTGTCGCTGGGGATCTGATGTTCCCTGGTGCTCACCCATAGCTCTTGTACCAGCCCCTGCCCGGGAGCCTCACTTAGGCTGCAGTCTTTATGGGTGCTCATCAACACTCCCACCACGCTTCCAGGATGGGTACTCTGGGTCTTGGCTGCCCAGGCTGGGCACCTCACCTTTAGACAGGTGCCCTGGCATTTGGGTGTCCTCTCTGCTGTGTCCAGGTCACAGAGGAGGCCGCACCCCAGACGATGCTCAAGGCTCAGGTGCAAGCTGGTCTGCACCACGTGACCACAGAGAGCTGGACCCCAGGCTGGGCCAGTGAAACGACTGTCTCCAGTCTGTGCAGATGGCCGCAGAGGCCTGGGCACAGGTGGGCCGCCTCACCGCCTACCCAGGCGGGGGGTGGCTCTCGGGGACCCTCACCTGTCCGGCCCAGGGGGCGGGGGGGACTGCTGGCATTCGGGTCCCTAATTTCCCTCCCGCCTGCCCGCCGCAAGGCCAAGCCGGTGTTCGAGAAGCCGCGGCGCACGCGGGCTCTGGGCAGAGGCCGCTGGGCCTGTCCCCGCGGCGGGCCGGGCACCGAGCCCGCAGGCCTCGGCGCGGCCCGGCTCCGCCCGCCCGC